GCAATGGGGCAGTGAAGAAGTACCAGTGAGTGCAACGGTCCCGATATGAAGTATCTTGTGGCTGACAGTGCCTCTGTAGACCGAGGTACGAGAGATTTGGTTCAACTTGCTGAAGGCTCACACAGCGCCACTTCTCGGTATGTACATTGTTCTTTACGTTGCCAGGATGGCGGTCTCACTCTTTGCAGATGCCGATGATCACGATGGACTGGTGGAACTCGCAACACGTGCACGGGACATCCTGCTTGAGATTCTCGATCATGACGGCTTTGACTTCACCATGCGCGGAGAGGAAGTCGGCGACGAAGTACCCACGTCGCCAGTCAAGGAGACCAGTTCGCGTGCAAAGGCCAACGATGGCGGGGAACCGCTTCCCGAGCATCGCTGGAACTATGCTGTCAAGCTGTTCCTAGTTCGTGACTTGTTCACGATCGCTCGTACAGTCTTCCCTGGTGACATCTTCGTTGGGATTGCGGAATCCATCCTCAAATACTTGAACAGCAACGAAGAAAACCTCGTCGGTGACATGCAATGCACCGATGAGGTGCGCGAGCAGTGGGCTTCTCTTTGTGCGGAGGCTGCACTTGCATGCGACACCGGTGTCATGCAGGGTTTCTGGGAAAACAAGCTAGGTAATTTCAGCAGTGGACGACGCGTTTCCCACTGGAATGTCGACGTCCGTGCCGTGGTATGGCAGACGTTCCTGGACCGATGGGCCGATGGGAAGAAGAGCTGGGAGGCGGCGACCGTCCTGCTTAGCGTTCCATTCGTCGAGGTCAGTGGCTGGGAGCTTGCGAGCGACGAGCTGAACGCGTGGGACGACTTCCTGAAGCGATCGATTGACTCTGCCCTCGATTGCGGTGTCGACGCGCCAGCCTTCATTGACCATGTCGCATCTGCCGTGGCCGCCGGTCAATCACCTGGAACGATGTCGTCCGTGCGCATCGCAGATCTGCTCCTGTCTAATCTGGAGTTCTCCGACGCGCGAGAGGTTCCGACCGAGTTGCTGGAGTTTGCAAGTGACACACTCAACGCGTCGTACCCGCCAGCGCCAAGACACAAGGTCATGTGCGTGTGGCTCGTCCGCTCCCTCACGCGCGTAATGGACGCTTGCCCGACTGAGCTATGCTTCTCGGCACTTCAATGCCTCTCCGACGGCTTGTGCACCTGGTTCGCGGATGAGTATGACAGCTGCTCTGTAAGCGAATATTCGTCGGATGTAAGTGTCAATGTGTTTTGTTTTCTCGGTCCCCGGCGGCTCACCTTACTCTACAGATCCTCCCGTTATACCAGACCGTACTGCTCAGCATACAAGCGCTTCAGACCAATGTCCGCATCTTAGAAGCACTGGCACCCTTGTTGGAGGCCCCGTTTCGCAGCAGGCAGGATAAGCACGTGGGTGTTATCGAGGCGTTTGCGGGCTTCTGGCAAGAAACCTATGCACGACTTCCCGAGCCGCCATCTGGTTGGCCAGAACAGATTCTACGATGCCTTGAGGCCGTCGCTCGAGAGCGGGAAGACGAAGCTAGTGTCGAGAATCTCACTGCTATTCAAGAGGACTGTCCTAGCCCCTGCGGTTCTGACTCCTGGCTTTCGAGGAAGGACGTGCAATGGGGACCCGCAGACGTCAATAATCAGGCGGAATACGAGAGCGAAGAAGAAAGCTCGGTGGAGTTGCATACTCCCGGCACGTTCTCTAGCCTTACGGAGCTGTTGCTCAGACCTGCTGTATGCCCTCGCTCCGTTTCTCCGGAGCGCGTTTCACTGCGTGAACCGTCTACTCCGAAGTCGTCTCCTCGGGCCCATCAGCTGAACACTCTACCGCATGCGCACGATGCTGTCATACAGGAATCTGATACCAAAGACCTCGCTGTCATGTGTCCCGGATCGCCGACTATGGGCTCATACCCCCGTGTTCCGACCACTCCCGAGCACTCGCCGTCGAAGGCCGATGCGAACACAGGCTCTGGTCGTTCGAATGGGACCAGAAACAAGGAAAATCAGTCACCTCGTCCTCGCATCGCAACTGTCGCCGAGCGTCTTGCAGTCCGCTCGCCCCTACTTCTCGAACCTGTCCTTGGGAAGCGGCCTCGTGTCGAGAATGTCGAGGATCAAGACGATCTGGGCAAAGCCTTCAAGAGAAGTAGGCTCGACATATCTCCTCTCACTTCTTCCGCTACTATCCTCAACATGGCGCAAGTAAACCTCGTTGCGCACGAAGCACCGGATGTCCTCGACGAATCTTCCCCCAGCCAGTCTGCATTATCGAAGGTTGTGATAGAGGAGACTGAGCTACTGAAGAGTGACAACTCTTCGAACCTGACGGAAAACTCGGAATCATCCTGGGCGATGCGCTCAACAGGTTCTCTGTGCCGCAAGCGGAAGGGTGTCTTCCTCGACGCTGTTGTCGTCCCTCCCGTCAACGAGGTCTTCCGAGAGAAGCGTCGGTTCGACGTCGGCGGGCCGTCGCTTTCTCTTGACAACACGGCACCTGCTGAGCCCAAGGCGCCTGCCCTGCGGCGGACCCGTTCCGCCACAAAGCTGTTAGGGGAGCAAGCTGACTTCCTCCGTTTGGAGAACACTCCGAAAAGGCGTCGCATGGTTCGCACTCAGCAGTTGCGTGAGGCCGCGGTGTCGGAACAGATGTCCTCGCCGTCTCGAACTCTCCAAGACGCCCAGCTGTTTGGCAGCGGTAAGTATCCAGTCCCTGTCACATCAAATGTCCTTTGGCGCTCAAATATCACATCTCTCATAGACGACTCCATTATGTTTGCCTCGCCCAGCAGAGCAGCCGACTTACCACCCTCAGATGATGATCCTCATCCAGGGCAATTGACTCCCCATAGCCTCGTTTCACCCGCTCTCCGTCGAGTGCGGCACGTCGAACTCAACTCGGATCCGCCTAGCGATGATTCAATCATCTCGACCAGCCCTTCCAGCGAACGGGTCGTGCGCAAGATTGCGCGACTGGGCAATGTGCAGTCGGCGCAGCCAACGCCGCTGAACATCCGCCCGCGCTCCATGAATGAATTCTCCTCATTCTCTGCCTTGGGAAACGAGCTATGATGCTCCATATGCGCAGCATCTTGCTATTTTCTCATGCGACTGTGTTCGTGCCCCATTTCCGGTTGGTGTGTTCATTTCTGTCGTAATCTTGACCAGCACAAGCTGTGACAATTGTGATTTGCCTTTGCAATATGCCGCACCCTATACTCGCACTGTACGTACTAGCTAAGCATCCGTGTCCCGCATACCGCTTGAACCTGTCCATAATCCACGAAGACGCCCAAGTAATGGCCCGACATCTCGCTGTAAAATAATCGTAGTTCGCATGTACTTGGTATGTCAGGTATGCACGCCTTATGAGCAATATATCTTGAGATCATCCTGGCCACTGCTCGCGACGTTCAATGAGGTCTGTATCTGTGTTTCCGGAGGTACATATATGATATAAGCTTCGGGTTTAAAGATGGTTCGTCGCGACGGAGATGGTGTGGCAAACAAGGTCTCAGTCGCTTGTAGTTTCACCATGGCACAGCCACCGCTACGCGACTGGGTTTCCGAGAACCTCGTCGCACCATCGCCTTGTTCACATTTTGTGTCATGCTCACAGGGTGGATTCTCGCGCCAACGTGCCCTCTTTTGCTCCGGCTTGACCTCGCCAAGAGCAAACAATTGGGACTGACTTTGTTTCAATCAGTCACCTAGAGGTCGTGGTGGCTTTCAAGCCAGGGGGCGTGCTTCGCGCCGTGCTACCCCAATTGCGCAAGGAGCATTGATCGCGGTCTCCGGCATTCAGGCGTATGGAAAATGTTCAAGCCCCGCATGAACCACGGATTCGCCCTGACAGTTGGCCGCTGGTTACCCGAACTAAGAGCGCTAGAAGGGCTTCGATTCGTAGCCGAACGAGCTATATGAACCCCCTTCGACGGTGCCAGAGACACCACATCGCACCCCGTTTCTCTCTATCCTCTCAACCTCAGTTCACGTCTCACGTTCGCTCTCGCAGTCGCTCTTTTTTGTGGTCGTACGCTAACGATACATAAACATTGCCATGTTCGCCTCTAAGCTCGCCGCTGCCTTCGTCGTGTTCGCTGCTGCTGTCTCTGCGGTTTCCGCCGCTCCAACCGTCTTCACTGAACCGAAAACCGAGATCGTCTACCGTCCTCACATCACCTCTCCCAAGGCCGGAGACGTCTGGCCCGTTGGAACCACCCAGACTGTCACCTGGGATACCAGCGATATCCCCGATGACGCCAAGAACCAGACCGGCTTGATCCTGCTGGGCTACCTCGAGGACGGCGACACCGATGAGCACCTCGGCGTCGGTGAGGAGAGATGTCTAAGATGTACACGTTGGCCTCGCTAATGCCTAATGGTCAGACCATCCGCTTGCGTCCAACTTCCCCATTACTGCCGGCTCCGTCGAGGTGACGGTGCCCGACGTCAAGCCCCGCGATGACTACGTCGCCATCTGTACGTGTCTCCATTTCATCCTGGTTGTGCAGTTCGCTAGACCTGACACTGTCTTGCAGTGTTTGGCGACTCGGGCAACGCCTCGCCCAAGTTCACCATCACGAACAGCTCCCTTCCTGGGCTCTCTGGCTCGGCGTCCGCGTCGGTCCCTTCTCTCCCCTCGATCACGGTTCCTGTCTCTAGCGCATCTGTTCCGTCGATCTTGCCCTCTGTCTCCCCATCCGTCCCCGTTGTTTCCTCCCCTTCTGTTTCCGCTTCCGCGGCTGTTGCTGCGTAAAGGGACTACGTATACTACGTGATGCAGGGTCCGTCGGGACATCCGCATGGACTCGTACCACTACCAAATGGACATTCAATATACTACTTCTTATGTGAACCACTCTCAGTATGCTGTGAGCAGGAAGTGACCGCAGGATGCTCCCTCGTCCGTGCTCTAATCAACCTCCAACGGCTTTCCGACTCCTATGATACGATGCCGTTGTCGAGAGGCAGTCAAAGTGCGAGGACAGGGGATAAAAAGAATGTGACGAGAGTGGGATTCGAACCCACGCCCTTTCGGACCAGATTGCTCGTAGGGGGAGCTTGCCTGATTCTGGCGCCTTAGACCGCTCGGCCATCTCGCCTTGAAAGTGGCAGCCGGTTTGTTTTATTATGGAAGTTGTAAGTGAGGCAGACGGTGCTATTAATAGAAGTGGCTTATGACCTCACGCGTCAACTGGCAACGCCTCCGGATCGCTGGGCTTGGCCGGCGCAGAGTCGCAGACCACGCCCCTCGCACCTGCCGCATATATAAAGCCTGCCCCTCATCACCCCATACCCATCCCACCTCATTCCCCTGCTCCTTTCCTTCCGCCACACCGTCGCAATTGTATCTCTCCACTGTTGCACGAAATGGAAGCACCCAAGCCCGCCATGACCACCTCGACTCAGCCCCAGGCTGTTCAAATGAGTACGTCGTTGCGGATCTGAGCTAAAAGACCGGTTTGACCGTGATGTCCTTGCTTTGTATAGGCGTGATGAACCCTCCCGCTCGCCAGAGCAACCAGCACTCTGAGGAGTGCCAGCGCAAGCGCGGCCTCGCTGCCCGTCTGCGCGGTGGAGGTGCTGCGAGGGTGAGTTCCTCAGTGTTTCGGACTTGCTTCTGTCGGGGGTCTGAATCCGCTATCACTAGGACTGCTTCCTTGGTGCGGTCGAATGCTTCATCTGCTTCGGTATGTTTCATTATACACCCCGTCTGTCGCAGTTGGGCTCATGTTCGTGCCTCCGCAGAGTGCTGCAAAGTGAGTCTGTGTCACCTTGTATGCTGTGCGTGGCTCAAACGCTGTTCCCCAGGACTGCTGCGAGTGCTGCGCGGACATCATCTGTACGTTAGACCAGTTTGACTGATCCTCGAAGTCTTGGGGACTGATTCATCGCCTACAAGGTTGCCCATGCGAGATGTGCTGCTAAAGCGCCGCGCAGGCGATGCCGGCGCGCACAGACATGCGGTGTTGGATGCCGTGGTTCTCCGGACGTGGTTTGGCTCCGGAACCCTCCCATCTGGACTGCGCTGTACAGTAGATGAGGCGTTTCATGCTGAAGCGTGTATTGTATACCGGACGGAGGATTATATGCTTGTTCTTATCGCTGTTCTACCCGGGCCCCTGAGAGCGGAGCTTGGGCCGTCTAGTGGCCCATATACGAAGCCAGTGTAATTTTTTCCGGAGCTCGTGTGTTCAGGTCCCGGAACCGACATGCACTATCCATGCACACAGGTAGCATGTACTGTGTAGACATGTGTTCCATGTTTTCCTGCCGATTCTGGGCAAAAGCTGGATCTCTCACCCTTGTGGCGGCTATCTGAGTGCGGGCGCTTAGTACCAACGTTGGTACTCCCTTGCACACACGCACTTCGCCAACGTGTCTTGCTAGTGGAACCCTACGCACCGACCAGATGGATGCGGTACTGAGACCGGGCGAACCGAGCCCTGCCCTAGTGGAGGCAGTAGTGTGTTCAGCCAAGTCGAAACCATCCCTTGTTTTTCTACATCGGAGTTTTTCATTGCTCAGGACGTTTGAGACTTCCAACCTCGCCCATCCAGCTAGACAGCGTTCAGTTGAGCACACCGCATCGATGCGACGGCACATGACAAACATGCGTCACCACACGGGCACCACGATACCTACCCCGTCTGGGAGTATGCCGCTTGGCGGCCGGCCTGCGCATGCCGTCATCTCCAACGGGAGGATGCTTGCGATAGTGAGCCGTCCAGTCAGAAGCAGAAGCGAAGCCGCTGCGCAGCGGCGATGGCGTTCGTACTGTATCTTGGGGCTATCGGAGTGCTGGACGTTCATGTGATGATGACCTGTCCGTCAACGGACGGCGAAGAGGCTGCGAAGCGACTCGCCGGCGAGATATCGAACGCTACGGAGAGAGAGCATCAGAACGTCTAGATGAAACGTCGCATGGGCGAGTGGTCTGGCGCAGCACGTCGCGAACAGCATTCAGCCTTCCAGAACTATGATAGTGTCTCCAACGTGCAAGACCATGAATCGTCCGTGATGAGTCCGTGATTTACTATTGTTCTACATCCACACATCCGTCGATGACGGAGACCGCGCCGCTCAATGCGCCAATATGCGCTCCCCGCCCCGCTCGCCTTCACGTTCCTCTATCAAGATGACACACAGGCCCGCGAGGATGAATATCGCGATGCTCGTGTAGACCGGGAACGAGTGGTCAATCGTGAGGAGCGTCCCGCCTAGGATGGGAGCGATCATCCCGCCTCTTGAAGATGACGAGAGAAACGTCAGCCATTGATCGCAGCGGTAACAACGATACACTAACATTCGAGACAACGCGGATGCAATACCGCACGCCGTGCCGCGCACTATGCCGTGAGAAGGTGACTATCAGTGGGTTGGTCGTGAATCTGAATACATGCGACATACCTTTGGTCCCGAATATCTCGGGAGTCCAGCCATACAGCACGGCCCACATCGCCTAGACCAGCCACAATGAGTAGCTACATCCCGCGGGGTACGCATACACTCACCGTTGCACTCAGACTGATCCCCACCGTGCTTGCACGCACTGCCCATGGGTGCTGAACTGCCAGGAACACCCAGCAGAAGAATGCGGTCACGAAGGTGCTCCCCGCGAGCGACCATCGTCGGCCCAAGGGCGATTCTATCAGCCACGCGCCGAGCTATCATCAACCCCAGAGATCAGAAAAGTCGGCTCAGAGCGATCACATACAGCGAACACTCACGACCGCGCCAGGGCATCCGCCCAGTGAATATATCACTACGTCCCACAGGCTGTCCTCCAATGACTTGGGAGCACCTCCAGGGGCACCCGTTGGCGAGCGGCCCTCAAGCAGCTTCGGAAGATAGACGTTGAACATCGTGAACGCTGCGCTCAGACAGTCAGCCCTATTCGCCGTCGACGCGTCCATGACTACACGAGACACTGACCCAGCGACATCGCCCACCACGCCGCCCACACCAACAACGTCGTCCGCATCCACTCGGGGGAGAGCACCATCGCGACCCGGTCAATCCACGCCAACAGCGGCCGCCTGACCCACCTCGGCAGCGCCCTGCACACGCCTCCAGTCTTGCTCTCAATGAATGATGACGCGGTCGACATCCTCCTGCTCATCCGTCGCCGACGGTCAAGAGGCGCGCTCGAATGCGCGCGGGGCCGTGGACGCGGGCGCTCCAGTTCAGCCGTCCGGACGGGGAGCTCCGGAGCTGAGGGCACGCGGTTGAGCGCAGGAGGTGCGCCCGACTGCATCAAGGGAAGCGGGCTCGTGCTCAACTGACCACAGCCGAGCATTGGCGCGGATGGCCGGCCAGGGGTGGCGGGTAGAGGTGTACCGAATGTGTGCGCATCGAGCGCCACGTCCGGTTCGGACATGGAGCTGTAGTGAGACGCGACTCCGGATCCCTCTCGGAGCGCGTCTTCGCTGCGTTCGGCGGAGTGACGGGTGGGGACCGTCGAAGCCACTTTCTGCGCGTCATCGACTGCACTGGAGTCGCCATTCGGTACAGGCTGGACGGTGTCCTGAACGTCTTCGACGTTGAGGTCGAGCTCTTCACCGTTGAAGCGCGAGATCATCTGCAGTGATTCCATGGCTTCTTCGGGCCGGCCCGCGTGGACGAGATAGCGCGGGGACTCGTGCAATCTGAAGAAGACGATGCGTGCGAAGAACATCGACAGCGTCTTGGTACTGTCAGCGTGAGGACCGATGCGCAAATATGCGGCGCTCGACACGCACAATGAGTCCTAGGGCGATTAGGAGGTACTTCCAGCCCATATTTTGGGACGCGATGTCGCACTCGGCCGGCGCAGGAGGGCATGAATGCGTGGGAATGACCAGTAGCCCGATGACCGCCGAGAGGACAGCACCAAAGGAGAAGAACACCGAAAGGGCAGTGACGAGATACTGCTTGCCTTTTGGCATGTGCTCGAGCAAGAGGGTACCGTCTGTCGGCATTGAACCCTGCATAGGTCATGAGCGAGATGACCTACTAGACTTTTTTCCATACGGGAGGACGTACCCCGACGGAACTACCGAGAAAAAAAAGTATAAGGCAGAGCCATACAAAAGAACTCGCAAAGGATGCAAAGATGCCAAAAAGTGCTGTCAAGAAGAGAGTGGCGTTGAATGCGGTAGTGCGACCCATCAAGTCAGAACCTGAACGGCAGACGGTCAGTTCGCTGCGCCGAGGCTGAGAGAGTCGCACATACAGGTGCCCCAGCCCACTGCACCAAACATCATGCCGGCAAACATGGAGGACGAGAGCGTGCCAACATAGCTATCGCGTACTGCACGTGATGTTGAGCGTGTGCCCTCGGCGAGGGAACGGGCGACGTACTGGAGAAGTGTTGCTGCACTCTCGGAAGGATGATGGCCACGGCTTGAATCCACATCTGCGTGATAGGTCAAATAGACCGTCCTGCGATATTGGATGTACGTACATTATCGGCCATCCAGCCTGGATACAGTAGATTGAGTGATGGAGTAGTGATGGAGTCAAACGAGTACGCAGCCTGTGCACTCACCGAAGCCGCATAGACACAAAAGGGTCCACTGGTAACTTCCTACACGGATTGCATGGTTATGGAGCAACTCGGTCGATGACGAGCGCGCTCACCCATTCCAATGCGGTCAATGGTTCTATCCAGGGGTGTCCTGCCATCCAAATCGTTTGAGGCTTCATAGTCGAGGCTCTCGACGTCGACGTCCTCGTCGTCGCCATCATAGGAATCCGGAACGGAGACGTAGCTCATGCGAGAGGGTGTGGACCAGAGACCGGATGCGCGGGGGTTTACCACGGACATGCTTATCCATGGACCGCTGCTGAGTCTATATTGCGCGATGAGGCGACAACGAAGGCGCTTCTCCTTGTGGGAACGCCGCAGGGGTCCCGTTGGCTGAGAACTCCAGCTGAGAATGATACTGTACTAGTAGAGCAACCCTCCTGTGGCTTGTTTGCCGGTCGGTGGGAGACAGAACAAGCCGAGAGAGAGCGTGGTTTACGTCTTGCGAGGCTATCCTGGCGGCAGTCCGATGACTGATGTTCGCAGCAGCGCTAGTACGGATCCGAGGACCTGTCAAGTATACGGCGTTCACTC